AAAAAAAAAAAAAGTTCCTTGTGAGTTTATGAGATCATGTTATGTTTCATGCAGACCCTCAGGATGCGGCCAGAAACTGTGAGCCTCAAAATCAAAAATGTGTGTTAGAGCAAAGTTTAATATTAAGAAAATGTCATTGTCTCTCAGAGAATAAGTGTGTATGTAAATATGTGTGTGTGCAATGCAATGAGAAATCCATCTCCACAGTTTTAGCACAGTTTGAGGCCTTTCAGAAGAAATGGTGGAGGGATGTCATGCTACATTTATATGATTTGACTGAAAGCCACAGTCAAAGCCTCAGGATCGTGACTCAGCCTCCAGCTCTAGACGTGTTTTTTCTTTGCTGCAGCTACGAGGCCCAAAGGGTCTCACAAGAAAACAAAGACTTTCTGAAGAGAAATCAATTCTGTTATGTTCTTATGGCTTTAGGATTGATTTACTGTAAGTTGAGAAAGGCTTTATGGATTCTAACATGACGTTTCAACTATTCGTTTGGGAGGACAATGCCATTGTTGCACAACTGTAACTTTATTATTTAATTCTTAATTTGTGAAATACACCATCCCAAACAACCTAATTTTCAACAGAAAAATGTTGCACAAAAGCGATCAAACTCCAGATGTTTCATAATTAAACCAGAAACACAGAAAGAAACATCTCAGAAAAAGATGCGTCCAATACCCATTCTGCTTTTAGCTCAGTTTTAGTCTCCACCAGCTCCTGAGGGAAATGTCTGGCTCTTAAGATGTTAAATCCAACACTGTGTTCACAGGTAAGACACTAACTTTATCTATCAGGCATAAACAGTGTCCTGTTTGGCTAAAATCAACACTGATAAAAGGGGTGAGTTAATTAAAACAGGTTTCAGGTCTTTAAATCAAAACTATGAGTCAAGAGATGCTGTATATTAAGCTCTAAAAGTTAACTCCCTTTAGTGAGTCATTTTCCTCAGATCAGCGAAACATTAATTTATTCTGCAGACATTCGCCAATGACCTCTGAATTCTCAGAAAATTGCTATTAATACGTAAACTGCATCAAAAATGTGGAGGAACAAACCCTCATGAAAGCATCATATTGTTGCAGTTCTTAGAAGACAAATACAACGATGGGTATCAGCCTTTAAAGGCCCCATTTATGTTTTTTAGACCACAAACAGAACGGAGAGTATTATCCATGACATGAGGCAAGAGTTTCAAATATTGACAAAAAAACGTACAGGCTTATTTTGCTTCTGAGTATATTGCTGAAGCAATACTTTTCCTCGTAGCTTAGATGTTGTTATTGTCTTGTTTAAGTCGCTGTGTCTGCATTTGTAAATCATCATCTAAGGCTGGGGTTACAGTAGTTTAAGTTGCCGCAGGGTGCGATTTATTTTTAGTTCAGGTTCTTTTTTCGTAGTTTTGGCCATCACATTTTCTTCTTGGTAATACTGAGCCCATCAAAGTTGTTGTTGGAACTTCACTATGACAAAGTCAGATGATGAAATGGACAAACCAAAAGTATGTTGAGATTAATCAAAAACATTTTTTGGAGGTAAAACCAAAAGTGCCTGCACCTGAGATGTTGGTAATAATCCAAACAGTAAATCCAGTGGGTTGTTTTTCATTTGCTCTCACATGTAGGTTTTAATAGACCCACAACCCTATTAAAAACCAGTCTTATCAGCCTTCCCCCCAGATTGCAGTAATTACAATGTAATTAATTACTGATAGAACTAATGACCAAAACTTGGTTTGAACAACAGATGTAATTTATCCTCTGCAGAACAAATGTGGAGTTTAAAATGGAGGATATATGCCACAGGTTCAGGCAGCAGTGATCCCGCCTGGTCATCAGACAGCACCGGGACTCGGCTTCAGCCTGGGGCTACATGCTGGCAGGGTACTGGGGAGTCAGAGGGGGGTCAGTTTCCCAGCCATCCAGGGAGGCCGGGACCTGAGACCTCCTCTGAGGGCGCCCATCTGACGCCTAATCCCCAGGAAATACAGGCAGGTTTCACCCCCCACACCCGCCCTCCACCTCTCCCACTTTCCTCCATCCCATCATCCATCCCACCATCCCTTTCTGCTTCTCCTCGCAGGGCAGAAAAGCCCCATAAATTCAAAGCATCTGTACGGGCAAGGGCCAATCCAAGGGCCGCCTTTCCCAGAGCCCGCGCAGATGAAATTTTATTCTTTGCACGAAAAAGTTACAGGGGGAGGGGGGGAGAAAAAACAGAAAATAAAGTAAAGCAAACAGTGGGGGAAGATCAAGGAGGAGAGGAGACGAGGGGTAAGGCGCTGGTCATCAGAGATCTGTCCAGCGTTCCAGTGTGTTCATAATAAGAAAGTAATATTATGTTCTTTATGCCTGTGAGACCTGACCCAAGCTTGATAACAACAACAGCCTGCGTCTAACTTGTCTCGGACATTTGCTCTTCCAGCGTAGGCTCCGAAGACAATAAAAACGACCTGTAGTAGCAGATTTAGTTAGTTGAAGTAAAGGTTAAGTTCATCACTCTCGCTATTTTACAAAACTGGCATTAAATACTAACAGTGGCTTTTTAAATCAAGACATTTTTAATTCTATTACAAAGGCATTTCTCATGTGGGTATAGCAGAGCACTGCAGATGCCTTTCTTAATCAGTTCTTTGTAATGGGATCAAATTTCTTAGAAAAATAAATCAGTTTTTTAAAAGAGGCCAATTAAAGCAGCTTAAACACTCACACTATGGGAAAAAATACAATGCAACACAAATATGATAATAAATCTGTCCCACGCAACACAACAGAGCACTGAGCTTATCTTATTAAAGTATACAGGATGTAGGTATCTCAATTCTGTATTAAAACATCAAATCAATAAGAGTAGCACTTAGAGGGCAAATCTCTGCCAAGGTCCAACAGTCCCCTCACGAAACCACATTTAACTTCACAAGATCCAGATTTTCATTTGGATCTGAACTGTACACACTCGTCAATATTAGTCCTAAACATGACTAAACATTTTGTTCATTAAGATCCATGAATTATTCTCTGAGGAGCAGCCATTTCTGATTACTTGAGTTGAAGTGTAAGAAAATTTGATGCACAGTTTTTGCAGAAAAACAATCATATTGCACTTTTTGGTATGAAGAGGAAATTATGCAACTTTGAAAGACATTGGAAATTGAATTTCACAAAAACAGCAAAGGTTTTTACAAAAATAGTGATATTTACATTTCGCTTTTAATTTTTCCAGTACAAACACACTACATGCTCTGAATCTGTATGTTGTGTGGAATTAGCTCAGCCTATGTCCTCTAACCTCCACGTTGACCCTTAAAACTCCCCCAGGACCTTGCTTTGGGAAAACCTGTGCACCAGACTATCCTGCTCATGTTGAAATAAGTTAATAAAAAGCTCCTAATCCCTCTTCGGTGAAACTGGTTTTTAAGTTGAGCAGGAAATAAAGCCTCTGTGAAGTATATTTGTGAGCATGGTTTGTGTTTTTGTGCTTTGGTTGTTTTTTGGTCAGAGCTGCTTTTCATGTGGTCACAGGCAGAAATTTGATAATTTGCAAGGACTCAAATGATGGATTTACACGTGCCAGAGAAAAATCTGGATCTGACCTCATGTGACCCAAATCTGTTATTGTGTGTGCTCTGTGTCGACTTGATGCAACTACAGTGTGACAAAGTGTGAAACATTCTGGCTGAAAAATTCATTCATCACTTCCTGTGTCTCATATTTCGCTTTCCTCGTGTTCTCAGCTGCTGCCAGCAAGGCATCATGGGTGAATCTCATCTCATCTCAAAACTAAACAGAACCTTTTACTGGATTTTCAGGAAAATCTGCAGCTGTAATAAAAAATACATCTCTCTTGGGACCAGATTTAAAGCATTTTATGATATTAAAAAGGTTCAACAATAGAGTCAGAGGTGAACACATGCTGCATCTGTACCTCAATGAAATCTTTCTCAAAAAACACTCATCGACTGAATTTCCCCGACAGTAAATGTAAATTTGTCAGCATCTGTGTTTTCCAGATG